CGCATGCAAGTGCTGCGCATTGACCCCAAGAACCCGGACAGCGCTGCTGATGTAGAGATCGGGACGGATGACTGTTGGGCATATGTAGATCTGGTGTCAAACCTGCAGCAGGCTATGGAAGCGACGCCAGGGACTTCCTCGTGCACGGGACCAACCAGCATTCGCTGTGGAGTATCCTTGCAGGTATGCAGGTTACTGCATCAGGATCCGACGAGTACATCGGCGTTTGGACGTCCCTTAGGGCCGCGGAGTCCTTAAGCTACAGCTTGCTACTATGGCCAGAACACATGGGCTAGGGTTGCAATTTGCTTTGATCCACCGGAGTCGTTGTTCTCAGAGCATCCTGCGCTCATGGGCGTAAGGCGGCAGGCTCAGCGGGTGATTCCGTACGCAAGGTTGGCCTTCAGCGGGATTTGCATCAATGCCTTGCCGCCAGTGGTACGGGGGCTAGCCTCAGGATTGCGGCTGCCGCATCAAAGGGGTATGGGCCTCCCGTGTTCAGGGAGTCGGCCAAGCACCCGGATGCCACGGTGTTCTACCTGCTGGACCACACATTCAACTTCGTCTCGAAGGAGAAGAAGTCAGGCATGGAAGGGCCCGCGATAGCGGAGACCATTGAGGCATGCAGGGCGAAGAATGACAAGTTGAGGGGCGCGCCCAACAACAGGCCATTCAAGGACTATGAGGTCCACTTCGTCTCGTGCACCCGCGAGGACGAGGAAACGTCGCTCCGAGTGCTGATTTCCAAGGCCTATGAGTTGGTGGATCGAAGGATAAATGAGTGCAGGGAGAAGTATGGCGATCCCGATAGGGCATTGTCGGACTTGTACATCCTCGGCACGCGAACCTCTCACCTCTACTCATGGGAGAAGAATGGCAACTGGCGGGTGAGAACAGATGCGACCTCGATCTGGGGACGGAAAGTGGAGTACCTGCGAGGTCTCTCTCGACAGGTGCGAGTCCTGGTGTGTGGTCCCGGACGCTCGTTAGAGCGGATGGGGGATCAGGGTGCGCACGTGCAGAAGGAAGCTGAGCAGAGGATGAATGCCATCCGGATGAACAGGATTCCCGTGGTTTCTGCTGACGCTGTTTCATGGGGCTGTGAAGTCGATCAGTACGGGAGGAACATGCCGATCGTCAGGGGACAGGCAGTATTGCCGGCATTCCCGGCTGCGCTCCTGGACTACCATTTGATGACGGCAACGGAATGGCCAGTGGAGACGGCCGTGAACATCCAGAACGCCATGATGAAGGCGCTGAAGGAGAGGTCGTCCTCGAAGATAAGAGGGGCTAGCTCCCTGTCAGAGTCAGAAGATGTTGACATGGCCGGGACAGGGACCGAGCGGCCGCCGTTAGGCGTTGCTGCCTTGAGTTCAACAGGAAGCAGAACAGGAGGGCGACGAGGGTTCAAGGTGCCGCCGAAGATGCCGCCGACGACATTGCTCTCGGGCGAGGATCTAGGGTCGATGAGACCAAAGTCCCCAGCCGTGCCTCCCAGGTCAGCATCTACGAGTAGCAGGAGTCCGCCACCAGTGGCAGCGCCGGCTACCCGCGGGTCCGGAGGCGGAGGTGACCAACACGTGGACATCGACGGCACGGAATCCTGAGGCGGCTGAACCGGCTGAGACTGAGAACCTGCTGCCCGCAAATGCGAACATTCCGAGTGACGTCTTCCCAGACGGAGATGCTCCGACAGCTGAGGAAATCCTGGAGTTTGTCGAGGAGCCGGAAGGTGAAGATGTTTCCATGGAGGCCGGTGAGGAGTCCGCGAATCCGACGGACAGTGAAAAGGACCCTCAGGTATCCGAGACGCCACAGGATAGCGTGAGGACTACGTCTCCCGTTAGGGAAACTGAAGGCCCTGAATCGAACGAGAGGTCGAGAGCTGCTTCTCCCGTTAGGGAAGATCAGCCAGTTGACGTTCCTCCAGAAAGCGACAGGACAGGGCAGGTGTCTGGTGAAGCAGTCCAGAAAGGTCCAAGCCGCGAGGTGCCGAAGTTCAAGGATGAGGACGGGGATCTGCGGGATACCGTGGAAACCAAGAAGGATGATCCGTCCGAAGGACATCGGGGAGGAGTACATGATAATGTGAATGAGCCTTACCCGCAGCACCCTGGACGTGCCCCGGAATTGTTTCCTCCTGCCGTTAGGCACCATCAGGAATCAACCACATCCTGGCGAGGGAGGCTGGAGAACCGTTTATCTATGCGGTCATCCGGAACAACAGGGAACGGGTCAGAGGAGGAATGGGCAGGTGCTCAGAAGAGATCGCACATCACCATTCCAACTCGCGTTAGCGAGCTGAATGACATCCTGGAGAAAAAAATCATGTATGGTGCCATTGACGCTGCCAGGGCCGTTGGGAGGCTCGACTCGGACTACATTGATCCGAGACACAGGGCATCCACTCCGTGGGCGGACCAGGCGTGGGACATGAAGAAGAAGGCCAGTCAAGCCTCCAACATCCCGTTAGGGTTGAGGCCACGGCAGGGCACAGGCAGGTGACTGGGCAGATATGCCCGATAGGGATGATTACATGGTTCGTGGGGCCGTTAGGGACCCGAACCGCCGTGCATACTCCGAGCACCAGGTGTCAGGTCGACGTTGTTAAACGCACAGACCGGAGGTGGCTGGATCTCATCTGTTAGTGGGTTACTCACGACCATTGGCTCGCATCTGGATACCGCTCTTGGGCGTGCATGGAGGATGCCACTGTTCCATCCGCAGCTGATGGCGGCGACGGCGATGCTGGAGAAGTTGCAGAAGTACTTTGCGTCGTCGCTGAATGAGGCGGTCTTGGGCAAGCGGCTGGGCACTGCGCCCTTCAGCATGATTGCCGGGCATTTGGCACCGGAGTTGAGGACTATCCCGACTAGGATGCAGATGTCGGACACTCTGGCTCAGACCTGCGAGGAGATCTTCCTGTCGCACGTGTCGGCCCTGTCCCATTCAGGATCCAGAGAGGACCGGGAGCAGATTCTCGATCGCAAAGGTCAGCCGTTCGGCAAGACGTGGTTTGAGGATGACCCGGAAGGTGCGACGTGGCCAGGTCACCGCATGGCTGGAGGAGTTGCCTACCCGTTGAAGCCGAAGACGAAGATTCGGTGGGGCAAGAGGCCGGAGCCGGGGGATGATGGCGATGAATCACATCCAGAGGCAGCTTCATCAGGTCAGCGGAGAGAGGAGCAAGACCCTGTTGGGGGTGGCGGCTCCAACATGGATACAGAAGACGGTCATTAAGGACATGCTTTTTATGCTTTTTTGTGTGTGCTTTTTTTTGGACCGAAAACCTTGTTTTTTCGCGTGCGCGTTCTTTGTCAAAACAATCTGTTTTTCGGAAGTGTTTTTTTGCCGAAAATCTTGGGGAGGGAGGGGGGCCTTGATGTTTGGACAATCCGGTGGCTCAGAGAGTTGTTTTTGCTATGTCAGCTGGTAGTGAAACTTGGCGCACGTGCTGCCATGGACATTTACGGGGTTGACGCTGACGAGCTCGCGCATTGCGTGGCGCTGCATGTCATTGAAATGAAGATTGACGAGATTATTGTCAGGAAATGCAGCCGGGTCCTGCGGTTGATCATGGAAAGAACTGGGCGAAGAGCCGCGATGTTTCCTTTCGCAGTCGTTCTTGCTGGTATGGAGCGCGCGCTGATTTCGCCATTGCCTTCTGATGATATGGCCAGGGAGCCTCTTGTGCGGGATTTGTGCTCTCCAGGCTCTCCAGGACCAACGCAACTTCCACGCGTCACTGCTGAAGAGCGGGCCTTTGTGGAAGAGTCGACCCAGGTTCTGCACTTCTTGAACGAACTGGCCGACATTGACGGACCTCTTACACCATTGGAGATGCTGTTGGACGATGCTTGTTTGACTTTGCGTGAGCTTGTTTACCCTTGAACTCTGACTGAACTTGCATCTAGAAAAGGCTGCGGAAACACAGCCTTTCCCCTGAGAGCCCGGCTCAGCTTAGGTTTTTGCTTTGCCTGAGAAGTTTGGCAACTCCTGAGTTTTACAAAGCACAAGGAAAAGCGTGTCTGTTTTGCTGCCAGCGTTGCGTGCGGCTCAGTGAGTTTTCGCCCGCCGCCCGCCCATTCGGTTCAACTGGCTCAGCTTCGGTTCGGCTTCAACTCGTTGAAATGTCCAGCTTTGTAACCAAAGCTGGCGAAGCCATGGCATCCAGGTACTTGGAGGAGGGCTCAGCTGGCATTGTGCGGGGGGATTGCCTATACAAGTTGGCGGAAGACATCCAACGAATCACTTGCAGGCAACCAGACAAGATCCCTTTCTCGATGCTCATCAAGGTCTGCGAGACTCTGGGCCCTCTGTACAAAGACAACCGGATGAACTCCAAGATCATCAGCAAGTGCTGCGCCACATGCACTGTGCTTGAACACTTTTTTTGTCACAAGACACCGGTGACTGATGTGCGCTACAAGGACCTTGTTACCTTGTGGGTTTCCTTTGAGGGCTTCCAAAGGGTTTCCCTTCAGGGCTTCTTTAGGGGTGTGCCTTAAGGGCCTTCTTTGGAGGTTTCCTTTGAGGGTTTCCTTAAGGGCTCTCATGAAGACCTTCCTGGGATTTCCCTTGCCTAGGAGGTGTCCTTTCACAGGTTTCCTTAAATGTTTTCTATGGGTGTTGCCTTTAGCTGGCCATTATTCATGGTCTAGCTAGCCTCTATGCATGTCACAGCATGTCACATGTCACATGTCACATGTCATGTGATGTCCCTACAAACAGTGACAACCCCCAAAGTGCAGCACCAAAAGCCAGAAGGGACATGCACCCTATATATTGACACCACCCCCCACTGCACAATCATATAAACAAGAAACACATGCAACCTTGGGGCGTGCTTACCCAAAACCAATTTGGGTTTGCTGGTGGTCATTTTGGCTGGGGTATTATGTATAAATGGCTTTATTTAACTGTTAGTGCTCGGGGGCTCCCCCCAACATAGCACTTGCGAGGAATATCTTCGGCAGTTGCAGGTGGAGCTTCGTCAAGAGATGCGAAAGGGTTCCAATTCGGACCTCGTGGCAGCCCTTCAGAAGGACATAGAGGAAGCGTCCAAAGACAAAGAGGAAGCGTCCAAAGCCGTAGACTTTGCCCGGAAGACACTGGAATTTGAGCGAGAACAGGCAAGGCAGTCCGAGGCACGCATGGTTAAACAAGGTTGCTACAGTCGGCAGTGCTGAGGTTAGGCTTGGGTTTTTGCTGATTGTTGTGTTTTTTTGCACGTGTTCCCCTGCAGGTTCTCACGCCAGACAAGGCATGTCAGCAGATTGAGCTAGGCATCGCAGAGGGCAAGATTTCCTCGCCAAAGCCATCAGAGACCCCAGAGATTGTCAAAGACTCCCGCACGAATGAAATCAAAATCATGCAGAACTACATCCGCGATTCCATCGAGGGCAAGAACAGAAACATCGCCGATAGCAAGTTTCCGATCCTCGGCACGTCGGGCATGAAGGGCATCGGCAAAACGACGATGCTCAAATACGGACTCAGCAAGGTGTTGCCAGACCTGAAGATGTCGGCGAAGGGCGCATACCTCACCTTCAATGGTGGGAGTGCGGAAAGTGCGAACGTGTTCGTTGAATCGCAGACACAGCACAACTCTCCTCTTCGTAGTGTTGGGCATGTTCTCATGGCAAACGTCAAGGTGGAAGCCCAGCAGTATTCCCTTCTGGACTTTGAGCAATGCCTGAACCTCTTTCGCAAGGCGCTCGACATGTCTGAGGGGGAGTCGTTGGTGCTCTTCATCGACGAGATCGGCGAGTTGAAGAAGCAGGCTGACGATGTTTTGAAATCCTTGATATCTACAGCAGATGCTCGTGGAGGCAAGTTGGTTTTCGTCTTTGCCCACATCAGTCAGCAGTTTTTGGACCACGCGGCAACTGGAAGCGGTCGGAAAGTCTTGTCATTGCCGCTCGAGGCTTTGCCCATCGACACTTGGAAGCAGAAGAATGACTGGAAGGACGCGGCTCAAAAGCATGCAGGTATTCACCAACTCCTTCTTCAATGCTGTGGTCATCCAAGGTCATTGTATGACGGTCTCGACGAAGCGAAGAATCAGAACCCCACGTTGCTCTCCACTCCGACAGAAGACGCACTGATTAAAGCACGGGGACACATCATCACTGAGTGCAAGTTCAACTCGGAAAGCCGTGAGCGTTTGAACAAAGACATTCCACGGTGGTTCAGCCTGCTTGAAGACTCAGACTTGATGGTTCGACTTGCTCGCGATGGTCTTTTATTGAAGTTGCCACACGCAGATGCACAGTTTTTCCCCCCGCTGATTTTGCAGGACTGGGCTGGAAAGAGTTGCAGGACTCCGCTGGGATTCCATCTGCAACAGGCTTACGCCGCTGACGCACTGCTTGGTTCTGACACCGAGAAGAAGATGGAGCCATTGATGTATCACTACGAAGCCTTGTTGAGGAAGGCATCGGAAGGGAAGACCTTTACACAGTTCTACAAAAGCGAGCATGTCAGTCCCAAATTGGTGGGTTTGGAGGTGAAGGCAAAAGTCCCTGCGCAAGAGAGACTGGTTGAGTTTGTCAAGGACTTCTCCGAGCAAGCGAGAGTGCTGGAGTTGCTTCAAACTGGTTTCATCGTGGTCTCAGAATTCCACAATGAGCATGCCCTCGAGTACTTGTCGCCATTCCAAGATGCTTCCGCTGACAGTGTTTTGATTGTCGCGTGTGTGCAGTGCAAGTTCGTCCAGTCCACTGTGAAATGGTCTGACATCCAGACGAAGATGGCAGATGCAACCAAGTGGTTGAAGCAGAAGAAGATCAAGTGCGTCCCTGTGATCAGGAAACTTATGCGGGGGGCATCTATTTCAATGACACGGACATGTTTGAGTTCACGAAGAGGCTTGGAGTGTTACGACTTCACACACAGAAGCTGGGCAAGCACATGGAACAGAAACACAAGTGGTTGAGCAGGGCTTCCAGCAACCCCGATCTATGATGTGCAACAGTGTTTCACCCTCATGTACAGACGGCGGTGCCAGCAAAAGTGCACCTTCAAAGACCTACCTCAACACACGAGTTGTGCGGTAACAGAGGCTCTTTTGCATGTCTACCTTGCAGTGTTCATGTAGCACTTCGCACCCGGGTTTAGTTGCGTGGCTTTATTTCTGAAGCAGTCGCGGAATGAATTTCTCAGGGCATCGGGCAAGTGTTCAGGGCAGTCGGCAGATGAACAAATGAATATTCGGCGGGTGAGCAGGAAAGTGTTCCACAGATGAACAAGGAAGTGTTCCGCAACTGAACAAAGAAATGTTCCGCATAAGAACATAAATTTGTTACAAAGGTAAACAAAAGGATTCCACTCTAACAGATGGGATAATGATGGAGGATTCTATTTGAATTCTATTTAATTCCAATAAAAAATTGATTCTGGATAATGATGGAGGATTCTTTCCTTATTAAATTCTATTTAAATTCTATTTAAAATTTAATAAAAATTGATTTCCCAAAAATTCTTATTTGAATTTAAATATAATAATGAATTCTAATTGATGATTTTTTTTGAATCTTATTTGAATTTTTATTGAATTAAAAAAATGAATTTTAAAAAAAAAATCTATTTGAATTCGAATTTGAATAAAAATTTAATTGATTTTGTTTTTAATGAACAAATATATTTAATTTTATTTTTAATTTTAATAAAAAAATGTTTTTACAAAGAAATCTTATGAAAATTCGAGTGTAATATAGAATTTTAATTGAATTATTTTTTATTGATATTTTTTTTTCAAAATTTTATATAAAATTTAATATAAATTAATGGTTTAAAGATTTTTTTTGAAATCGAATTTGAATAAAATTTTAATTGATTTTTTATATTGTATTTAAATTTTATTTAAATGTAATTAAAATTGGTTTTTGTAAAA